CCCCCCCTCTGCTCATCTTACCTGAATGGATCGGGTTGCACTGTGAGAATCACCTTTTTTGATTTCTCCAGTGCATTCAACACGATCCAGCCTCGGCTACTGAGTGACAAGCTGCAGGCTATGAGGGTAAACTCGTCCACCATCTCCTGGATTACCAACTACCTCACGGACAGACCACAGTACGTCCGGCTGGACAGTGTGCTGTCTGATGTGGTGGTTGGTAGTATTGGAGCCCCACAGGGGACTGTGCTGTCTCCTTTCCTGTTCACCTTATACACCTCTGACTTTCTATACAACTCAGAGTCATGCCATCTGCAGACGTTTTCGGATGACTCTGCAGTGGTAGGGTGTATAAGGGATGGACGGGAGGAGGAGTACAGAGCGCTGGTGGGTGATTTTGTTGAGTGGACTGGAAGAAATCATCTGCTTCTGAATGTGGCCAAGACCAGAGAGATGGTCATTGATTTCAGGAGGAAGAGGACATCTCCTCCTCTGCCCCTGTGCATTCTGGGAGAGGGTGTGGCAGTTGTGGAGGTCTACAAGTACCTGGGAGTGCACTTAGACAATGGGCTGAACTGGAGGATCAACACTGACGCTGTGTACAAGAAGGGGATGAGCCGACTCTATTTTCTGAGGAAGCTGAGATCCTTCAACGTATGCAGTAAGATGCTGGAGATCTTCTATCAGTCTGTTGTGGCTAGTGCACTCTTCTTTGCTGCGGTCTGCTGGGGGGGCAGCATCAGAGCCGGTGACACCAGCAGGATCAATAAACTGATCAGGAAAGCTGGGTCAGTCATCGGCATCAAGCTGGACCCCTTTGAAGCTGTGGTGGAGAGGAGGACACTGAACAGGCTGTTGTCCATCATGGATAACCCCACCCATCCTCTCCACCTGCAGCTGGACAGTCAGCGGAGCTCCTTCTCCAACAGACTGCTGCAGCTCCCCTGCCACAAGGACAGATACTGGAAAACATTCCTGCCCACTGTAATAACTCTGTACAACAAATCACCTCTGGCTGGAAGAGAACTCTCTGCTCCATAGTTTCTCTTGAAATAAAACCACGTTGTACATTTTACTCATACATAATCTGTTTCATATTTAATACTCCATATTTCATATATTTTGAATATATATATTTGTATATATATATATAATATCTGCATGTATATTTTCTATTTCGACATGTATATTTTATATTTTATATTTTATTTCTATTCTTGTATATTTTGTAGTTTTGTTTTATTGTAAAATGCCTTTTATGCTGCTGTAACAAAAACAATTTCCCAATTTGGGATCAATAAAGTACGATCTATCTATCTATCTATCTATTAAAAAGAACCTGAGGTTTATGGCTGTTTTTGGAGATGAACAGAGAAATGTGCTCTGTTTTGGCTGCTTTGACTGCCGTCTGGTAGTCAGAAAGGCAAGCACGAAGAATTTCTAGGGAGACATGGAGTTTATCCTTTTTCCATTTTCTCTCTGCACGCCTGCAGGTGCGTCTGAGAGCACGAGTACAGTCATTGAGCCACGGCTCTGATAGAACTTTGGTGCGTCTAAGCGTAAAAGGAGCAACAGAATCCAGTATTAGTGTGCATGTTGAGTCAAACATGGAGATAAGCTCATCAGCATTAAAAGCACAGTTCACATCTAATTTACAGATCGGAGAAGCATTAAAAACATCAGAGAACTGTGAGGCAGTCAAGGGGTTAATCGAACGCAGACGACGCGCCGGGGCACGTGATTCGACTCCTGCGGAAAGGATGGAGGTTGTAAACAGAACCGGTAAATGGTCTGAGATACGCGTTGCTGCACATATTTCATCCACAGATACAGACAGTCCAAACAATAATACTAAGTCCAAAGTGTGTCCTTTTTCGTGTGTTGGGCCAGCCACGGACTGAACGTATGACCCCGGAAGGCATAAGTTCCAGTGTTGTCAACGAGTTCAGTCCTTTTTCATCTTCTCGCTGCACAGGTTACTACTTTATGAGTAGAAGCCAAGCTAGCCTATTAACATTTAGATTATTTAAGCTCATCGCTACCTGTAGCCTTGTGATCGTCTCGATCGGAGCTGTGGGCTAAAACGCTCGCCCTCCAAAGGCTGCGACGAGCTGTCCCCCTCCAAAGGGAGAGGTGTCCCAGACTCTCCTGACCTGGGCAGCCCCTTGCCTGGCCAGCCTACGGTCAATGTATCTACCCGGAGAGCAGAACCAAGTCGCCGACTTCCTCTCCCGTCACAAGCCTCCACCCGGGGAGTGGCGGCTTCATCCAGAGGTGGTGCACAGCATCTGGGGTCTCTTCGGCAGGGCAGAGGTAGATCTCTTTGCCTCGAGGATGTCGACCCACTGCCCCCTATGGTTCTCCTTGACGGAGAAGACCAGCCCCCTGGCTCATGGCCAAGGTGTCTTCTCTATGCCTATCCACCCCTTCCTCTGATCAGTGCTTCATCAGGGCCACAGGCTTCTTCTGGTGGCCCCCTTCTGGCCAGCCAGGCCTTGGCGTCTCCCCAACAGGAAGGACCTCTTAGCTGGAGAGTCGGATGTGGCACCTCCTGCTGTGGGTCTGGCCACTGGAGGGCCCGACCCGCTGCTGAGCAACTGCATAGAGCCTGTCAAGAGGACTATTCTCAATGCAAGGGCACCATCTACTCGTATGCAGTACGCAAACAGGTGGAAACTATTTTCTGACTGGTGCCAAGGACGAAATGAGGACCCAGTACATTGCTCGGTGCCTACTATCCTTGAGTTCCTGCAGTCCCTCCTGGACGACGGCCGGTGTCCCGCTACCGTCAGGCTGTATGTGGCTGCGATATCAGCTCAACACGCAAGGGTTGACAACAACACAGTGGGGAGCCACAGGCTGGTATCCCTCTTCTTAAGGGGAGCTCTGAGGCTGCGCCCCCCGAACATCCCAAGGGCTCCTACATGGGACCTACCCTTGGTGCTGTATGCCCTATGTTCGCCTCCCTTTGAACCCTTGTCACAGGCAGAAGTGAGGTGGCTCTCAGCCAAAACTGCTGTCCTTCTTGCCATCACCTCAGCAAAGCGCGTAAGTGAGCTTCAGGCCTTGTCCGTGAACAGCTCGCGTCTGAGGTGGAACTCAGATGGCTGAGGTGTCACTTTATGGCCGAATTCAGCGTTCCTCCCTAAGGTGCTGGCACGCTCTCATTTCAATCGGTCTATCCAGCTGGCACGGTTTGATACCTCATCAGGAGAGGGGGAAGAGAGGTCAAGACTCTTATGCCCGGTGCGGGCCCTTAGAGCTTATGTCCAGACTACCGCACGCATACGTCAGTCTGAACAGCTCTTTCTCTGTTACGGTGGTCCTAGAAAGGGCTGTGCGCTCTCAAAGCAGCGCTTGTCCCACTGGATCCTGGACGTCATTGCCCAGGCATACAAGGCGAATGACCGTCCCTTGCCACCCAGAGTAAAGTGCCATTCTACCAGGAGTGTCTCCACGTCATGGGCGACCTTGAGAGGTGTGCCCCTGGAGGACATATGTGCCACGGCCACATGGGCATCCCCGAGCACATTCGCCAGATACTACAGTGAATGTTGCCACCCCTCACCCGTTGGGTGTGGTCCTCCTGCAGAGTCCACCTAGTCCATCCCTATTTCATTTGAACGGGGGGGACGGCGCAAAACGAGAAGCATTCGGACTCAAGTAGACGGAAGGAATGAGGTATTTGCGGTCTACAATGACAGAGAAGAGACTGTCAAGTTTGGCTGTACTCAGCATTGAATCAAAACGCACTAAAGCTTTAGATCTTAATAAGTTTGTGAGGCGTGTTGCTGAACAAGGTGGTAATCGCCTCATTCAGCTGTTATAGGCATGCCAACTTGATGCTCTGCTCACGGATGATTCGATGAGCATAACAAACTGTTAAGATGATAACCTTATGTGTGTATATATTTTTTTAATTTGTGGGGGTCTGCCCCCAAAAAACAGTTTTAAGTCCTGAGAAAGTCAAATAAGACGGTGTGTAAAACTACACTGCCCAGCCAACAAAAATTAACGACTTTGATTTAACTAGGCCAGTAGGTAAGGACTTTCCACTGGATAATAACTGCAGCGTATGTTTTAGCTGAATACACGTTTTTTAACCCTAACTGATGCAGTTAGTCACTTCTTTAATGTTTGTTCTTTCTGATGTAAAGTCAAGGTTGTAACTGTTTGCAGTAAAGTCGTGGGGCGCTGAACTGTTCGTTTGAATCTTTTGATACATGATATAATTACTTGTCTTTCAAATTTGAAGGAGGGTGAGCAAGCATCTTGAGGAACATTCATCATTAACTCCTCCAAAAAATATAGATTATTCAATAATAAATGAATGTGTGAATCATAACAGTGATTGACAGCTGATAGGAATAATATGATTGTTAATAGTATCATATTCATTCAGACAAACATCGATGAGACAGTTAATTAATGTACTTATTGCAGCAGTCTGCATAGATTTGGTACCCCTGCTGGTCTAAGAGTGAAACAAACTCATTCAGTTATTGTTCAGTTAAAATTAATTAAATGATGTCTGCCACCTTTATATATTTATATGTAAGGCTTTATGTGCCACAATAATGTCACCTATGTTATTGAGTTAAAATATTAATATTGTGGCTTTCCAAGTTAACATTGATTGATATGACTGCGATTAAATCAGCATATACTTCTGCCACCCTCTGGCCACTCCATGAATATTTGTCTAGATCCGCCCCTGCTCTGGTGGTCAGTAAGGATGAAATAGAACGAAAGTTACGTATGTAATACGGTTCTATGAATCCTGGATGACCGCCAGAGTTCTTGGTAACTCGGAATGAATGAACAATAGGACAGCAACTTGAACTCTACACACACTGCAGGAACACATCTAACTGGTTTTTTAAACAATGGATGTGAAACATTCATGTCTCAATAGCATTCAGGAAATATTTAGAGGGTTGGAAAGGACAAGATAAAGGGGTTATTGAAGCAGAAAATGAACACCAGAAGGTGGCAGTAATGCGACATTAAGGACACCCGCTGCCGGATCATCACAGGAGAAGAACAGGCCGGAAGAAGGATTCAGGAATCAGCTGTCAAAAAAGTATAAGCAACGGATCATAAGGAGGTAATTTGTATATGAACAGTATAGTACTACAATAATCGTGTTGGCTTTAGGACTAGAGGATATCTCTTTACATCTGAATATGATAATATCCGTATCTGATCCGCAGTTAAATGCCCACAGTAGCGAACGTTGACGTTAACTGCGTGAGAGCGTAGCAAGCTAACTGACGTAGCTAGCATGCTAACAGAAGACAACACAGCTAAGTTAACATGTAAATAGTTACTATATGCTGCTAATACCAAAGCTGTGGTTGGTTTGTGCTCTGCGTTGAATAACGTGTGTTTAGTCCAGGTAATGAACACGGTCATGGCTAACGTTAGCCTTAAAACTCTTACTTGTTGTGTTCAATGTTGACATGTCCTGAGCCATGAAACTAACTTACGTCCACAAGCTAACTAATGGAGGTACTGCGCTAACAGTGTCTCCGCAGCGGGGATTGGTAGTGTAGATTCATCAACGACATGTCATGTGTTTTAGCTTTACATAACGTTTGTCTTATTAGCTTATGATGCTATGACAATATTACTCAAGAGACCTAAGTGGTGTTACGCAAGTGAAAGTTAAAATGTTTGATGTCAGCACAATTCAATGCTTGTTGTAAAACATCCTGTGTAAATGTATTTGCCTGCCTAATGACTGATAATGAAATTATGTTGGGCTTATCCTACTAAGATTTAGTACTACACTACCAATCCCCGCTGCGGAGACATTGGTTTAGTTATTAGTTATGAGTATTATGGTAGGGAAAACCCTGCTGTTTATTCTAGTATTATTTTGGCAACAATCTTATGTAAACAAACACATATTTTAAAAGCCAGCCAAGATGAGTTCAGCTAAAATGTTTGAAAGGCATTTCTCTATCTCTTACAATAAGTCAAAAGTGTAATTATTGTGGTAGGTTAAACTGTTGTCTTACTTAGAGGGATAACATTTGAGGCCATCAGCTACTTGGATGTTATCAATGCTATTTAGAATTTTTAACAGGACTGGTTAAGCGTTTTAGTCACAGCTTTGGTTATTTTGTTTTACAGATATGTTCAGAGCCTGTGCAGAGCACTGACTGGTCGCCTGCCTGTGAGTCTTACTGAACACATCCGCCAAGATGCCTGCAGTTTCCAACGGGCTCAGAGAGCTGTATCTGTCCACTTCTCTGGGGGAACTCAACAAAAAGGCTGAAATTAAGCCGGACAAGACAAGCACCCGGAAGTAATGCTAACTTTCATGTTTACAGTATTTACAGTAAAGCACTCATAACACAGAGAAAATGTCTCCAAGTGAGGGAAAAGAGACGAGATAACGTGTGATTGAGATTGTTGCGTTAAAGTTTGAATAAGTGTAATCCTTTTGAAATGTACAGCAACCTTTATCAAACAAAATGAATCGGGTTCAAAGCCTCGCAACACATGCTAAAATCCCCAGTATAACTTAAGCCCAAGCATTTTACAATCACAAGGTGATTATGTTATTTAAATTATGCTTCTTATATGCTTTGTTGCAGCTATGTTCAGAGTGCCTGCAAAATCTTCAAGGCGGCAGAGGAGTGTCGTCTGGACAGAGACGAGGAGAAAGCTTATGTGCTGTACATGAAGTATTTAACTGTATATGACATCATCAAGAAAAGACCAGACTTCAAGCAGCAACCGGTATAGTTAAACATTATAAATGTGTAACTTTGTGTGGAAAACTAACAAGATTTGGAGTTAGTGTGTAACTTTTCTCCATTCCATTGTACAAAGGATTATTACATGACCATGCTTGGGCCAAACAGCTTTAAGAAAGCCATCGAAGCCGCAGAGAAACTCTCTGAAAGCCTTAAACTCAGGTTAGTTTTTTATTATTGCACATGACTTATTAATGCATAAGATTCAAAATCTGACTTGAGAACATGTTTTCTTTTTTAACTCTGTTAATCTTTACATTGTGAACAGGTATGAGGAAGTTGAGGTTCGAAAAAAACTTGAGGAGAAGGAGAGACAAGAGGAGAAGAAAAGGAGGGAGGAAATGAAAGAGAAAGATAGCGGTCGAGGTGCTCCAAAAGTGTCTTCAGCAAACAAGAAGGACAGCAAAAAGGTAGATATATATTTTCTTGTTATAAATTCAAAAAGATAGACACTTGATTTCAATGAGAATTGCTTCAGTCTGTGTGTCTAAAACTGATGTTTTGCAAGTGGATGTGAAGGATGTGGTTTATGATTTTTTTAAATAACATTTATAAAATGTACAGTTTTAAATCTACAGTTTACATCATGCCAGTAATACCAGTGACACTAATAGCCTAATCAGTAAAGATATGAATGGCGCTGTTGTGTATAATGGTTTGTTTTAATATTTTCATTCAATTTATGTAATAATAAAACAAATGCCATTGGTCCAAATCCGAATTATTCAAATCAACGTTAGCGTTTTAACATGATGATTTCTTTGTCAGATAAAAGGAGAACAGAATGAACTGAAGACTGAACTAAAGAATACACCCTCCAAAGGTAAGCAGAATACATTTCCTTCTGATGTTAAAATCTTTCTTTAAACCGAGAGATTAGGTTCCATTATGGTGAGTGTTTCACCTGTGAAGTGTTTGGAATTTGAGTCTGTTCTTTTCAGATTTTTTTCATTTCTTTTTTGTCTGATAGCTGCAGTGCCAGCTGGTGGCATCTCAGCTGAGAAACTTTTCCACATGATGGAGGACCAGACAATTACAATAATTGTTATGGATGCGCGCAGCCTCAGGGACTTTGAGGAGTCTCGCATTCAGGTCCCGGGCCAGACGTGCATTAGCGTGCCGGAGGAGGCCGTCAGCCCAGGGTGAGAGCAGGCCTCGTACCTGATAGTTTGATCTGACACTGAATGTGTCATTTGTAAGTTGGGCATGATGATATAAATGAATGTATTATTCCCTTTTGTTACTTTTCTGTTTGTCAAATCAAAATAATGAGAAGTAGAAAAGACTACATTGTAATACCTGTCCTCCTGTCCTCCTGAACTGGTTCTTTGTGGCTTTTCAGAATCATTGTGACTCAGATTGAGGGGAAGCTGCCAGATGCGTCTAAAGAGCATTGGAAGCGGAGGGGATTTGTGGATTATATAGTGCTGCTGGACTGGTTCAGTTCTGTCACTGACCTTAAACTGGGCACCACCTTGCAGAGCCTCAAAGACGCCCTCTTTAAAGTGAGTGGGTGGGGTTTAGAGTGTGAATAACAACTGCAGAACCTTCCTGTGAGCTACAATGATGTGTTTGCACTCTCCACAGTGGGACAGCATCACAATCCTGCGTAGTGAGCCGCTGGTGCTGGAGGGAGGCTACGAGAACTGGCTGTTGTTTTACCCCATGTTCACATCCAACGCTAAAGTCCACCCTCCTCGACCGAATATCATCAGCTCCCACCCCCAGTGTGAGTATGAGCAGTACCATGGGCACGTTAGAGCTTTGGCTCTTTGTATTTATCAGGCCACGTAGTTTAGTTGATTGTTTGTTATGCAGCTGATGTTGTTTTATTGTAAGAAAAAAAAGATTAAGGCTAACTAATTCATGTTTAAAATAAAGTGAGCGAATTCTCATTTGACTTATGAGCATTGAATCCCACACGATGCTTGTGTTTTCAAAATGTGATCCTCCATGCACCTTAAAAACAACAACAATGAAATAATCCAAACTTACCAGCGTTTAGTCTTTTTTTCTCTTGTCCATGTGTCATATTTACACTCAATAGTTTCCAAAGCCCATATTAATGGCTCATTTAAAATGACTCTTAAGATAAATGTTCCTATATTCAGGGGTGCACATAACTGGTACGCAGGTACGCATGCGCGGCAACAATCTGAAATGCGTACCGTCACTTGTGTCACAAAGCGCATTTGCGTACCGACGTACTTGTAAAGCTTTTCCAGAAGGCGGTTAGTTCACCGGACGGTCTCCGTGTGCACAGACAGGGCTGCTGTTAACGTCGGTCTGTACAGCAGCCCTGCGCTAAAACAGCTGATCACAACGTTCACACGCTCCGCGGTCACGAAGCTCTGTACTCTACAGAGTACTACCCTCCCCCCCCCCCCGTTGACAATCGCGAAGCGCTGTAGTCGTCGTCCCCCCCCCCGTTGACAATCGCCAGAAGTTGGAGTACCAAACACTGACTCCAGGTACTCATCTGAGTACCTCACTGAGAAAGTTGTGTGCACTCCTGCCTATATTAAATGATTCTCTTTAAAATTGATTTCCTTCCTTTGATGCTTCAAACAGTGAACTTTAGCTACCCATCCCTAGAGGAACCAAAGCCTGTGACCCCACCTCAACCAGAGCCCGAGGTGACACCCGAGCCTCAGGAGGCCTCCGCTCCTGTGCTGGTGAACGGGGTTGCACCAGCAGAACCCCCCACATCAAAAACCTCCGAGGTTACTGACGGGCCGCCAGACTCTCTGGAGTCCACCGTCACCGGCTCGACCAATTCTGGGCTAGACGTTAGTAAGAAGGGCCCTGCAGCAGGTGCATCCATTCAGACGCCTGCAAACAAAGCTTTCCCACAGGTACTGTATCTGTATATTTGGGAGAATAAAACATAGAGAGCTGTGTGTTTCAACACCACTCATGTTTTGTTTATTCCTTCTGTTCCCTGTCCCAGTTTGACCGTACCAAGAAACCCTCTGTCTGTGTTACCGACGAGCCAAAGCCCGGCCAGAACGGATCCATGCAGAACGGCCCAAATATGCCCGACCGCTCTGTCAAACCATCCATCACCCCCAACAATTCACTGTCTAAAGAAGAACAGAGCCAGATACACTCTGAGGCTGTAGCAGGGATGGAGAAGGCAAAGCAAGAGCAGGAGAAACGAAACCAGGAGCGTCGTGCAGAGGGTGAGAGACGGGAGAAGGAGGAGAAGGAAAGGTTTGAAAGGGAGCAAAGTGAGAAGAGGAAGAAGGACGAGCAGGAGAATGGACCTCAGGAGAAAAATAAACTGGAACGGCAGAAGGCAGAAGAAGACGATAAAGAGAACAGGGTGTGGGACGACAAAGAGAGGAGGGGAAAGGAGCAGAACTCTGAACCTCCCTCCAAGAGTATGTCCCTGGACTCTCCTGCTCCCAATCATATCGTAAGTGAAATTAAGGTGAGTCCTATTTTCTCCCCTTGTTACTTACTACTACAGTGTGACGTTTATTTCAACCCTCTGTCTGTGGGAAAGTCAGAAAAGTAATCCCCAGATCCCACAACAGTGATCACATGCTAACGTTAGAGTCACTTTAAGCTGTGTCTTACATTTGTGGCTAAAGGGAAACTGAACAATCCCTTGTTATTTTCTCACAGTTTAAACAACGAGACTACAAATCCACATGCTAAAACACTTTGCACACAAACGGAATACCTATCTGGTCTGACGAATTAAAGGATTTAAAGCTGTGTAAGACTCATGGACAGTAAAGTAGTTAGGGGAAGATAAGACTTCACAATACCTGTTAGACTTTATATTGTAGAAGATACAACTAATATAACTTTCTAACTATGTACAACCTCTTTTCAACAGCAAAGTTATGGGTCTACATAATCCTAGATACAATTAGTTATCTGTAACACTTCAGCTACATTACAGAAGTAAAAAACAAGCTAACTTTGTATGTTTGCTCTCTCATGCTCACCCAGCAGATTATATTGTCCAACACTTCAATCTTACCTCAGAGGCGTGTTGTTAAATTAAATCTTTGTGAAACTAGAATAAATTAAGACACTAGTTAGACGGTAGACATACTCAAGTTTGTTTTGTATTAAAAAGATTACAGCAGTTATCAGTTATTGTGCTTCATAAAAACAGTGATATATGTAATTAAGTCACACCATTTTATGCCAACCTTTACTTCGCCCCTCGTCTGCTCCTCTCCTTTGTGGGGTTCCACAGGGCTCAGTGTTAGGCCCCCTGTTATTCTCCCTGTATTTGCTCCCTCTTGGGTCCATTCTTAGGAAGCACGGCATCGCTTTTCATTGCTATGCAGACGATTGCCAAATATATGTGCCACTCAAGAAGAACGACTCGTACTCAATTAAACCACTGTTAAACTGCCTTGAAGACATTAAGTCCTGGATGTCATGCAACTTTTAAAAATTAAATTATGACAAAACCGAAGTAATGGTTTTTGGTGCCCCTCGGACCACTCCCATAGACCTAGGATCCTTGGGCCACTCCAACAGGCCTACCATCACAAATCTTGGGATAAAGATGGACCCTGAACTCAAGCTGGACAGCCAGATCAAGGCAGTAGTTAGAAACAGCTTCTTCCACCTCAGGCAGCTAGCCAAAATAAAGCCTTTTATAAATAGTGACCTTTTTGAAACAGTAATCCATGCCTTCGTCACCTCCCGCTTGGATTATTGTAATGCACTATATATTGGGATAAGTGCGTCCTCCCTTGCTCGCCTGCAGATGGTGCAAAATGCAGCAGCACAGCTACTAACTGGCACACGCAAACACGAGCACATTTCCCCCATTTTATCTTCACTCCACTGGCTGCCCGTTCTTTCGAGGATTCAGTTTAAAACTCTTTTATTTACTTTTAAAGCCCTCAATGGCTTGGCCCCGCCCTACCTCTCTGAGCTGTTACACAGCTACACGCCCACTCGCACTCTCAGGTCAGCTGATCAGTTGCTCCTGAGGGTGCCAAAAACAAAGTGTAAGCGCAGAGGGGACCGTGCTTTCTCTGCTGCCGCCCCTAAACTGTGGAACGACCTGCCATTGCTAATCAGACTGTCTGTTTTTAAATCCCGTCTTAAAACCCACATCTTCTCCTTAGCATTCGGAACCAAGTAGATTGTTGCTTTTATTTGCTTTCGGTGGTCTATTGTTTGTACTATATGGTTGTTTTTATTTTTATTTTGTAATTGTTACGTTTATTCTGGTTTGTTTTGTGTTTCGTATCTTTTATGTGATTTTATACTTATTTTTATGTTTTGTGAGCTGAGCTGTGTGATTTTATATGTTATGTATCTCTCTGTACAGCACTTTGGTCTGGAGGTTTTAAAGTGCTTTATAAAGAAAGTTGGATTGGATTGGATTGGATTTTTGTTGAGAACTTTTAAGTGAAGTCTGTTTGTGGTTTTTTTTCTGCAGAGGGAGCCCCTGACCCGAGCAAGAAGTGAGGAGATGGGAAGGAGTGTCCCAGGCCTTCCAATTGGTTGGATGAAGGTACCACATGTTTAAATCTGAAATGTGTTAACTCACTTTATAATTGAAGAATGAAAAAAGTTTAAAAACATATATATTTGAATTTATAAATAATGAAGACCTTATGTGTGCTTGTTTCTTTCAATTAAATGTCCTATTTTCTTTCCATGTTCCTCCCTCCATTATTGGCTAGTTCCTGGACACGGTGACAGGGACCTACAGATACTACCATTCCCCGACCAACCGTGTCCACCTGTACCCGCCGGAGGTCACTGTTCCCCAGACCCCCCCCTCCACGCCGCCAACAGTTAAACAGAAACCCCCGCGGCCCGCTGAGCCAGACTCTACCCAGGACCAGGACCGGGAGCAGTCTAAACTGAAACGTTCCTACTCCTCCCCGGATATCGCCCAGGACCTGAGAGACGAGGTCCAGAAGAAAACCGCCACCCCCCCCACCGCTGCTGTCACACCCACCATCAACAGAGAGACCAAGTAAGGCACTCGGATGTTTTCTGATATCACAATATAAATATGGATACTTTCTGTTTGTGCTCGACAAAACTATTATATGACCCAAACAAATCGACCCAGCTGTGGCTCAGGCTTGGGCCTAACTCAAGCCGTAACCATGGAAACAGCTTTGTGCTCGAGCCTGATTTACAAACATCATCACCAAGAATCATGAGAACTGTACTGACACATGTTGAATATTCAAATACAAATTAAAACTTAAAACTGAGGTGTCAACATTTTCAAATATAGACAAAAGCTAAATAAAATAATGTAGACATACAGTATCATGACATGCACTGATCAGTTACTGGGGTCAGCCGCTCAGCAATTCCAGCAACTGAAGTCTTAGTGTCTAGCGTTTTGAATCAATCATTATAATGTGTTTTTTTTTTATATAACACATTAAGATAAGATAAGATATTATCTATTAATCCCAAAGTGGGATTTTGTTGATGTAGCAGCATGTAAAACAAAGTATTGCACATAATTAGGAATAAAAAAAGAGTAGAAAATATAAAATTATACAATATGAACATCTTAAAATAGGAGATGAAACAGAACTAAAAGAGTGAATATATAAAAGTTGACCGTGAATATAAAAATATGTAGACGATAATAAAAACACTATTGAAGAGCTAAATTACAGCCAACCCAATATAAAAGTAGGATATTATTTTCATTTAGTGTGCAAGAATTGCATATTCAATTAAATATAAATGTACAGTGAGATGTTATAAGTCCAGTTAACAAAAGAGAAGCTATGGAGCAGCCAGAGGTGAGTGGTTATACAGAGTTATGTTTTCCTGTATCTATCCTTGTGACAGAGGATCTGGAAGCAGTCTGTTGGTGAAGGAGCTGTCTGTCCAGCACATTGTCAACTCTTTAGCCTTATCTCTGCAGAAACTGCTCTCTCATTGTGTTCCTCTGTCCTGCAGGCCTGCCACTAAAGTCTATTCTAAAGTGGAGATCGCACGGCCGTCGGCTGCCAAAATTCGCAACCTCAACCCTTCTTTTGGAGGTCTGGGTCCATCGCTGACGGGCCTCCGCAACATGGGCAACACATGCTACATGAACTCCATCCTGCAATGTCTGTGTAACACTCCTGCCATGGCCGAGTACTTCAACAACAATTACTACCTGGAGGACATCAACAGGTCAGATTCTGGATATGTAATGTAATAATAATATATGCCTGTAATAACTGCAAAATATACCTGGCTGCTATATCTCCAAAATGGTTACAGATGTTTATTTTGTAAATTGTTTAATTTTTAATTGTTTTCTTTCCTAAAAAAATGGTGCATGCTTCTTAGTTAATATTAAGCTGTTTTTGGCTCTTTTCTGCTGTAACAAAATGTTCCCCACTGTGGGACGAATAAAGGTATTTTCTGATAATTACTTCCCAGAAAGAGACATGTATGAGGTAAATATTTAAGATATCCATCGCTGCTTTGTGTATCTCCCAGGTACAACATCCTTGGCCATAAGGGCGAGGTGGCGGAGGAGTTTGGAGTGATCATGAAGGCGCTGTGGAGCGGTCTGTACAAGAGCATCAGCCCGCGGGACTTTAAGGTCACCATAGGCAAGATCAATGACCAGTTTGCTTGCTATGACCAGCAAGACTCCCAGGAGCTGCTGCTGTTCCTCATGGACGGGCTCCACGAGGACCTCAACAAGGTAGCGCACGCACTTCATGCAACATTTATAACAAAACCATCAGTGTGGCATAAATAAAGTATTTAAAAGCTTTTGAATACTGCTTGGAGAAACATTTACATCTAATGTGCTCAATCTCGATTACATATTGAGTGAATAAATTATAAGTCATTTATTTATTGTAACTGTGTCTTCTGCTACCCGTTGTTTGTTGTCTGCCTGTTAACGATGTAAAACGCAGTCTTTTATCATTTTTCTTCTGTTTTTTTCACCTGGTTTCATTTTGATGGCAAATTAGAAAGTAAGTGACTAGCTGTGTGTCCTTGGTCCTCCTGCAGCAGTGTGAGTGTGGCGTGTCTGCATCTGTCCGGTCTGATGCTCTGTCAGAACCTCTCTGCATGTAGACCCAAGACATGCCTCATTGCCTGTAGTGACTGATGTTACCGGCTTCATGTGCATTTGAATGGAGGAAAGGACTAGATGAATAGGGAAAGACAATTTCATAGCTTGATAATTATGCTTTTTCTATTTTTAGACATCAAAACATGATTGTTTTTCAATTTTTTTCAACGGAAAGCCACAAGCAGTCAGAGATGAGAAGGAAAGGCAGCTTTGAGATTCACTCTTTCAATTGTTTTTGATGAGGTTGTAACGGCTGATGACGTCCATTTCTCATGACACACTCTCCATCTCATCACATCCCCTTTGTGTGATGTTCAGACCCGTCTGCCATCAGGTTGGCTCTGTCCCCTCTCCCCTTTTATCTCTAGGCTAATGGTATAAGTCTGTCTAATTAATGAGTTATTAATTAGCAAGCGTTAACCTGCCTCTCATATCTTCCTACCTATCATAATGACCTGGCTGAACTGCATGCAAATGAACTGAAAGAGATTAGGACTTGAATTCACGCAGTATGTAACTTCTCCTGAGTCATGAAGACAGCTTGCTTACACCTTGAGCTGCTGTTGCTTTTGCGTATCAACATGTTTTCTGTCTCTGGTGTCAGGCGGACAACAGGAAGCGGTACAAAGAGGAGGATAACGACCATATGGATGATCAGGCAGCAGCCGACCTGGCCTGGAGCAAACACAAGCTGCTGAACGAGTCCATCATCGTGGCTCTGTTCCAGGGTCAGTTCAAGTCCACCGTGCAGTGTCTGACCTGCCACCGCAAGTCACGGACCTTTGAGACCTTCATGTACCTGTCGCTGCCTCTGGCCTCCACCAGCAAGTGCTCCCTGCAGGTCGGTCACACAACAACCTGCCAACGTCTTTTGCTGTTTTTACTAGTTTGTTTTGAGCTTCAACATTTTCAGACAGAGGCTTTGTTTTGTCCTTTTTTTAATGTTGGGATAGCAGAGTTCACATTTAAGTTCAAATGTATGCAGGGTTTCACATGTAAAGATTCAAAATGCAAAAGATTCAAAGGTTTTAATGTCATATGCACATAAGCTACAGTGTAGAAATGGCAATTAAAATCTTACGACGCGAGCTCTTCCAACGATGCAACATAGTTAAATAATAAAATACTAATAAAAAATAGTGCAAGAAGTCTATATACACGTAATTAGAATATGATATATACATAACATGCTGTACTGTTGAGTTCAGTGTTTCTTTCTCTTAACAAACACATAAACCTTCATCTTGCTACATCTTGAAGGCTTATAATGTTAATGTGTCTATGTCAATATATTTTTCTGTTATATATATTTCAACTGATGTGCTTGCTGCTTCTCGGCAGGATTGTCTGAGGCTGTTCTCCAAGGAAGAGAAGCTGACGGACAACAACAAGGTGTTCTGCCGACACTGCAAAGCCCACAGAGACTCCACCAAGAAGCTGGAGATCTGGAAGGTCCCGCCCATTGTCCTGGTGCACCTAAAGCGGTGTGTAGTGATGTCTGCATTACTATGATGTAGACTAAATGGCTCTGTCACTGTCTAATGATGAATTCATAACTTTTAGCTCCAAACTAAATGCAGACTTTCACTTTTTTGGAAATACGATTTGATTTGTAATTTCTGTAAATGTTCTTACTGTTCCCACAATTGACATTCTTTTTCTTTGATGGGTTTAATTTCTGCAGATTCTCCTATGAGGGCAGATGGAAGCAGAAGCTACAGACGTCTGTAGATTTCCCTCTAGAAACTCTGGACCTGTTCCAGTACGTCATTGGACCCAAAACCAACCTGAAGAGATACAGCCTGTATGGGGTTTCTGTAAGTACACTCCAGATACCCAAATGTCTATGCACAAGCACATATTAGTTTCCCATGATGTGTCCTCTTTAAAAGGAGCTTAAGAAATGCATTAACAAGTATCATTATTGTTATTGCTGTGTAATTAATGATATATTCTATCTACAGTATATCTATGTTTCATAAAGCTGTCCTTTGTTTGATTCAGTCTATAAACGGTTGGAAAATAAACCAATAACAAATAAGTATAGCAATGTTTTGATATAGTGAACATTTTAACGGTTTACAATTCATTATAGTAATTATCTAGCTGCTTCGAAAGCCTAACCCTCTTTTTCTCCACTCCCAGAACCACTACGGGGGTTTAGACGGCGGCCATTACACAGCCTACTGTAAGAACGGCCCCAAACAGCGCTGGTACAAGTTTGATGACCACGAGGTGATGGAAATCTCCACCCCCTCCGTCAAGTCCTCCGCAGCCTACATCCTGTTTTACTCCACCCTGTGATGGAGCCGTAGGACACAAAGAGAGAGCACCACACCAGACGCTAAAGCCTGGAGGTTGTTTTTTCTTTTTAAATCACAGCTGAGGACCTGCCTGGCGCACATGGCTGCGGGTCGACTAGTCGTGTTTGTGCACGCTAGTGGCGATTAGAAGATCGCAGATGGGAGGAAGGTGTAGGCACACTGTGCAATGCTTCAGCTTCTAGAGGACCCTATACCTGTTAAACATGCCGTCTGTTCTTATTACTGATCATCTAGTGACTAACTGAGGCTCCTTTTACTTCTCGATGGGTGTGTGTAGGGCTGACGGCTGATTCAGATGCTCTTCATTCTTTTCTGCCCTCGGTGCGGACGGCTGTATCGCAGAACAGATCGTTTCTGTGTCTACAGCCGAGTAACAGTTTGATGCCATGTACATACTTACCAATGCTGATGTTGCACATTCAAAATGTAAATACCGGAGGGCAAGGTGTTTATCTGTTAAGTGACCAAATTATCTTCTTTTTTTTTTCTTGAAAGTAGCAGCCTTCATTGTATCATCATATATAAGACACACTGTGTAGGGGTTTAAAGGGATATTCAACCCCAACATCAAAGATGTATGTTTCCCCTCTCACCTGTAGTGCCACTTATCTGTGGATTATCTTGAGTCACTGGGCCCTGATCTCTACATTGCTTTGTTTCTTTTTTCTCAAATGGAATTATTGATGTTTGAGCAACCAAGTGCTATTATAGTTGAGAGGAAGCAGACATTTTCCACAGCCCAAATCTCTTAACTCTCTGCAACTCCCACATTGAAACAATCTGTGTTGATAAACAGCACTACAGGTAAGAGGAGAAATATGTGTTTATGATTTTGAGGTAAACTGGCCCCACTCTATAGCCTTCTGGTCTTCATGGGATGGAAGAGGCCGTGTGTGTTGGCTTTTGCATTCTTCCTTAAGCTAGGATTGAGATTGTTGCTTGTTCATATTAGCCACATTGTTGCACTTACACAATATGCAATTGGTTTAAGTTAATGTATAACACTTTGTTTAACAGCAGACATTGACACTCCACTCTTTCATACGATGCTGATGCTGAGAGCTTGTCTGTCTCTTCCCAGGCAGTGACAGAATAAACCACCTGCAGAATTCTCTGTTCGCACACTTAACTCTTTACATTCATATATTCAGACACAACTGCTATTTAGAGGGAACATTACTGGGATTACTTTGCATCCTTCTTGGCGTTTACCAGTTCTGCTGGTTTCCAGAAGGCTTTAATTTAGATTTATATCATTTTATTTCTGTGTTCAGTACTGACCCGAGAGAATATGAAGTCATGAGAAAATGACCTTGATCACTTACACGAGTGTGTTAGCGTCAACATTTTCTGCCTGACCGAGTGACTGACTAGCAAGCACAAAGTGAACTGATGTTTCCTCTGAAGGACCTGAGGCGGCAGGATTTGACTTCCTATGTAAAGTTGTATTGCTTAGCATGAGATCATAATCTGTTTTCTTTTTACTTGTACATGATGATTTTATTACTTAATGCTCTGGAAACAATTAGTTTCTGATATAACGATTATATTAACCTCAAACAACTCATATGACTATTTATTAAAACTGCTTCAAATTAATGTTTGTGTCTGATTGGCTTTTTCAGGAGATATCGGCTACAATGGAGCCATTAAAAAAAAAAAGGTCCGTGTCCTAGTCTCTTCCTTTCTACGGATATAAGGTGTCGAAATATTACACACAAACATTTAGACAGGATATCATTATTGCACACAAGACAATATTGGATATTGGATATTTATTTAAAGAGCCGTTGTGGTCACGCCAGCGAAAATAAAGGCCACAATAAAGAGCAGATATTTTTTAAAGTCTTAACTGATTTACCTTGGACTTCTTTTAACAAACGATAGACACCAGGGTATCCATTAAACGGCACATTTGGCCTGCTGGGCTCAGAGTCCGTGGATGTTGGGCTTCTGGAAGGGCTTGCGGCTGTAGAGCAGCATGTAGGCATTGGGAGATTGAACAAGGCTGTCCTGGACCTCTCTGACTGCTGAGTCATCAAAACAGTGCCAGGTCCGAGTCAGCGCATTGTGGCACAGAGCGGTGTAGTGACCCATGTTCAGGTGACCTATGTGGTTCTAGAGGATGAAAAGGTTTATTTACATGAACAAAGTGAATCAAATCTCAAATTCTTTGGCCACAATTTATCATTTTATGATTTAGCAAGTACACAGTGGCTGGTTTTATGTAGCCATATACAAACAATTAAAACAAGACCATCCTTTTAAAATGTGGTTTTAAAGTTTAATATCACTCAGCAACCCACTAATTACATTGTTATTAAGATATGAAGTAACTGCATTCATTACCGTCAAAATATGTAAATTAAAGAAGTATATAATACATAAACAGAAATAAAGACAGAAATACTAATAATGACAAATAATGACAGGTTTTTGTCAATTTTAGTGTCTTATCATCTGAACAAGTTATTTTGTATCTGCAATGAGTAAGAAAGTTTGAAATCTTCTATTGAATCCTTCCAGAGTTTAGAATCAGTCGTTTTGTGGTAATAAAGTGTACACTAAAATATCATTTAGGCAGTACAGTTCATAATAAATGTGTGTATGTTTACTGACCACAACAGCATAAAGGTGGTATGAAGAAAATGAGTTGTTCTGTATTGAGCTGGACAGAAACGGGGAGAGGTCGAGCATCGAGGAGAACTCCACATTAGTCTTCAGTTTCACCTGGTTCTTCCCCTTACAACCAAACCTGGAGGAGATAAAGATACATCTGATTAACAAAACACTTATTCCTTTGACACTTCAACACGTACCCTTGCTGTTTAGTGTTAAAGTTTGACCTTTAACAGATAACGTAATGCGACTACCCACCGTTTCAGGTGCAACATGAGGATCTCTGGAGGTTTGTCTAAACAAGTGAGGACTGTCGTTTCTCTCCTCAGCCCACACATGGAACACAACATCTGCTCCCCCCCGGTCAGGACGGTCTGCTCGAAGAACAGAGACAGGCAGTCCTGATGACAGAAGTGAGAGCAATGAGACAACTATCTAAAACGTGCTATACATACAGACGGATATGGGCACTACATTGAGGTTCAGGGCTCCACAAAGGCCACAGATCCAAAGAGAAATCTTTGGTCATTTTGTATCCCTTGTTTTTATTTCTGTAGTGGTTATATTAGTCGGTAATAATATCAGTAGTCGTATTCTGTCGGTTTTTGCGTGTGGCGCTTTGTATAGTTTTGTTGAAGTTTTGATTCTCTTTGTGGTCTTTTTGAATCTGTTTTTGGTTGTGTAGCATCTCGTGGTGATTTTGTGTCTTTGTGGCTTCCTAAAAATGAATGTTACCAGTACATTTAAACAGAGGATCTGGCCCAGGGACCCTTAGCCTGTACAGTAATCTGTCCATGAGTCATGTTGATGTTTCCATGGTAGCAGGTGTTAGAAGGTGTAAAAGGTACCTGAATGGAGCACTTATTGATGTCTGTTGGGAGAGGCAGTGACAGCACAGTGAAGGTCTGAGTGCTGTGTGTCTGGTGGTCGCAGTGCATGCAGAGGGTCATGTAGGCCAGCTGGCCCTCGAACAGATGTGACACGATGGTGGACCCCCCCGCTGCAGGGACACAGTTCCTCTTCTGGTCTTGTCTTGGTCGTTTTGAGGAGCGCATCTTGTGCTTTGAAACAAAGTAAGTACACACAAATACACATTTACTCTTTCTGATGGTGTAATGATTCGCCACAGAGAGATACCTCTGAGTGATAGATGGTGCTGCACCTTATTGAGGTCGTCGTGGAGTGCGTTGAGGAGGAAGAGCAGCAGTTCCTGGGCGTCCTGCTGGGAGTAGTTGTTGAACTGGGGGAGGATTGAGCACAGCACTGACCTGGCTTCCACAGGCGCACAGCTGGAGCTCCTTCCCAGCCACATCTCCTCCAGCAGGTGGACAAACGTCACCACCACCCGACACTTCAACCTGCATGAACCGAGGTGAAACTGCTGAGAAAACATGACCCTCAGCATTAAAGGGCCCTATTATGCAAAATCCACTTTTTCATGTCTTTTATACAGAAACATGTGTCCCCTCTGTGTAAAGAGATTCTGAACGTTTCAGGAAAAAAGATTCTCTCACTTTCCTGATCCATTTATATAAAAACCTGTCTGAAAATGAGCTGATCAGATTTTGGCCACTTTATGATGTCAAGATATTTTTTGGCTTGTGTAACCATTAGCCAATAACCAACCAAGGTAACCCCCCCCCCCCCCACCATTGTGTTCTTTTTAACCAAATATCTCGCAGAGGGGCGTGGGGAGTGGCTCCTTATTTTCATCTAAAGTAACAGACAGAGAATCAGCACTTTTGAAAAAAACAGAGGGGTTTATGGGATGCTGCAATGCATGATCTGTTTGGTATTTCGAGCCAAACACTTCAGAGATATATTTTGTATATATCTGAGACCTATAATATATTGATGAAAAACAGTATAATAGGGGACCTTTAAGGTGAGTGAGAAAGAGGGACAGCAGGAGGAAGGGTCTTACCTCCTCAGCTCTTTGCGAGTGTCCTGATCGAGGAGGTGCTCCACGAGAGGCACGGTGGAACACAGACACTGTAACACAGCATTTAAGTAGCAGGAGTTGCCTGCGTTGTCCAAACCGCACACTCCTGGTCTGTTCCCGCCCTGCAGCCTCGCCGCAGAGCTGCAGCCTTCTCTCTCATTTTCCATCACATGACCACAGCTGATGGTGTTCGTCCTGCAAGACAGAAATCAAAACCAAATGCTTATTCATGTGCAGCAGTGCACATTGTATTATAGTTTGATATTGGCACAACATGAAAAAAAAACACGAGTAAGTATTCTATAGCTTTATAGATGAGTTTCTAATTAATGGAAAGAAAAGTCAGTTGTTGAATAAGTTGGCTCCAGTATTTTAAACATGAGGATGTGAGAGTTTTGTCTTCAGTATTTTTGGCTGAAAAAAATTATAAAAAAAAAAATCCCAAAACATTTATGATTTTCAATTAATACAAAAAAATAGACTGCAATTTAACTATTTATGGAGTTAATAATTAGTTCCAGCCCTGATTCTATAAATACCAACCCAATGTTGGCTGTTACCTTACAGTGTACTGTATCTTCTACCTCTTCCCTTGCACTATATGACCAATATGTTACCTATACTATTACCATCTATATTAACAGCACCTACATAACTTCTTGCACAACTGTTGAATAATTGAATGCCCCAAAATGTGCATTGTCCTGAGAAAATATTCTCACATTTCATGAATTGTTGTAAATGTCATATTCATTTTTAATTTAATTTATAGCCTAATTTAATTGGGTAACATGTGTCTGAATAAATTATATTTAAAATAGCAGAGCATTCCAAAGTGAGTCTTGGTATCAGTACTTTCTGAAATAAAAAAGCATCACTGACTTGCCTTTGGATGGAACATCCAAAGGGATGGAACATCCAAAGGGATGGAACATCCAAAGGCAAGTCTTCTAGTGAGAAGTATTTTATTCGCCTTAATTGAAACACTATACAAAAGCAGTAAAACTAACCTTTGCTTGGACAGATTTGTCAGACCTGTCTCCTGGTAAAAGCTGCTGTTAAGTCGAGGCAGGACGGGCACAGTGACGCTGCTGTCGGCCGCCAGCTTAGAGGCCAGAGTCCTGCTGAACTCTGTCAGGGAGACCTGCCTGAGGGAACCTTCGCATTGCAGGGTGTGGAGCACAAAGGTGTTGATGCACAAGATGTGCAGCGTCACCCAGAGGCCGGGGAGAAACACCTCCACCACTGACCCCTTCTGGTCGGGCTGAGGAAACAGAGCAGGCCCGGTCCAGCCCTGCAGGTGGGCCAGCGGAGACACTGCGTCCTCAGAGGTCTGTTTGAGCATAACGGGTGGAGAAGATGTGTTGACAGGTGAAACAAATTGAATATCCACCCCTAAGCTAGAGAAGATGTCTGAGAGTCTCCCATCCATCCGAGCAGAGCTGTCCATCTGAACCAGGTGTCTGTGGCCGCAGAAAGGTCTCAGCAGGTGTCCCACCACCTGCTCCACCACAGGCTTCCTGCTCTGCCTCTGGAGCTGCTCTGCACTGTACAGGTACATGTTACAGATAAACCCAGAGCTTGTGTCACAGAGGAGGGCAAGATGGAGAGAGCAAGGCCCCTGATCGTAGGAAAGTGTGTATTTCTTCACAGCCAGGTTGCGACCAGGTGTGTAAAGGGCCTGGTAGCGCCTGGTCAGGTGGCTGCAGAAGGCAGAGAGGGCTTCAAGCTTGTCTCTGTCCTCCAGTCTGGTTAGAGACAGGAGGTTGGTCTGGAAGCTGTTCCTCTTCAGGACACCCTGCCATCCATCCAGTTTCAACATCAGCTCAGAGTCGAAGCTGCAGTTCTGTCCCACAGACAGACCGCCCTGCAGGACGATAGAGAACCAGGTTAGAGCCTCGGTGTACTCCTCCTCAGTGAGGTCTGCACCCTGCTCTCTGCTCTGGCTGTATGAGGGGCGGTGGGCTCCAGCCTTCACACCGGCAGCTCTTCGGATCAGCTCCCGGACCGCTCCTCTGTCCAGAACCTCCAGCAGGAG